GAACATTTTGTGACTCTCTCTTACTTTCTCCACCGACTAAAGGGCTCCTCAGTGAAGCATCTTGGAAATAACGCTATATAAAATTGTGGCTAATATTACAACAAAAACTCCAAAAATCGCAAGTCCACACTTTATGGAAATTTTCATAAAAAGTTTACACTCCTTAATTACTCCTTTTAGCAGCAAATCTTTTCTAAAAAGGGTAAATATACAAATAGCGAAAACAAAAAAAAAAACTAAAAAGCGTTCGTATTGCAAGAAAATCTACATATATACGTAAGCTCCATTGTATTACACACATACAATTTTTTCTCATTTGTGATCAAAAAAAAAAAATAAATCAAAAAATTTAAGCATTTCCTTAAGTAAGGTTAATAATACATTTCCGCTAAGCATTAATTGACAAACATTTTAATGACACTGTTGGGTATTACGTTCATAAAAGTAGCCATTAGTGGGATTCATGAAACATCGCAAAGTGGCATTTTTGGTGAAATAGCAACTTTGCGAACAAAATTGTATGAGCGGCCTATCGCAACTCCGGATGTCAAAGTTTTTACGAATTGAAAGCTACTTGATAGCTTTTGAATAAATCTGGATATAGAAACCGTTATGAAAAATGTATGTATGCTTTAAAAATTACAATAATAGTTTGGTCAGATCGCCGTGCTTAGTTTTTTTGTCGATTTATTTTTTGCCAATTTCTTCCAGCATCGATTATTTTTATTTCGATTCGAATCTATTGAAAAATCGATTTTTTTTTTTATTTAGATCTGGCATTTCTTGTATGTAGTAGAGGAATGGGATAAAGGCAAATCTCAAAATAAAAGTATAGAAACCTAAAGGTAAATACAAAGAGGAAAGTAAATTTAAATACCTAATGTAATGATAAAGGTGGGGTGCATATGTAGACCAAGGAAAAAAAGAAAACATTAATTGGGATAAAGGTAAAGGAAGAGATAAGGATACAAATTTAAAGATAAATGAAAGACATGAAGATAAAAAACATTGAAGACAAAGAAAGAGGAAGTGATAGAGATAATGATAGAGACAAAAAAAATATTCAATTGAAGAATGAGATAAGCTGTTTTGTTATGTTATGTAATGTTTCTTTATGTTATGTTATGTTATTTTATGTTATTTTATGCTATTAATGTTATGTTATGTTATGTTATATTATACTATCTTATCTAACACATGTTGCTCAACGTATCTCACCTCAACTCACCACAGCCCACTTCAAATCCACTCCTCTTAGATCACCTAAACTCACATAAACTCCTAGAATTTCAACCGCTGGGCGAACACTTGTTGTTTTGAACCACTGAAACCACGCGAACTTCCCATTTTCATTAGACATATGGAAATCAGTTTTGAGCTATGCATGCCGCGGTTGGAAAAATAAAAAATCTCATTGACTTCCACAGTTGAGCTAACTGCCGATAACCACCGTAAAGCGTATTTGTTATTTTTTTTATTTTTTTGAATAATTAAAAATTTTCATATGCTTAATAAGTAGACTCTATTGCATTTGTATGTTCATAAATTTTTTTTTTTTCGGTATCGAACCATTCATATATGTAAATGAGCAAAAGTGTTGATTTAGGTGATGCGAATGCTCACTGTGGAAGAAGGTGGTACGAAAATACGTATATAAATTGTCTAACAGCCTGTCATTGGGAGCCGAGTCTACACGTTAACAAAATGGAATCTGTACGAAAATAAGGAGTATAGAAAAAAAATACAGCAAAAATTATAAAACTAAAAATATCACGAAGGAATTTTTTGTATCCTCGGTTTTGCTAAAAGAGCATATGCTAATAAATCGATATACCGATACCACTAAATTTATCGATATGTATATGGTTAACAGTGTAGATAAATAATTATTATAAATATATCAATAAAAATTTAGTAATAACTGTCTGAGTAAATGTTTATCTCTTCAATAAAAAAAAAATGTTTATCGATACCTATTTCGATAAACAAACAAGTAAATATTTAAAAATTTTCAAGGTTTTTCTATACTATTTAAAAAACATTCAAAATATCATTTAATATTTCGATTATTTAAACAAAAGATATATCAATAAGTTTCCAAATTAAATTGTCGATTAATGTTTTTATGTTAAATAGTTATACCAGTACAATAAATGCATCAAAATTGATAGCAATAAACATATCCAAAAATATTTTTTATCGATAATATTTAAAAATAAATATTTAAAATTTCTTAAACCGAAAGAATGACGCTAACTGCCAGTTTCACGAAAGCAATTTAAGTTAAAAATTAATTTTTGCCGTATTAAATTCAAATAAAAAAATTAGAATTTTTCACTAAAATTTTCAAATAAAATTCTATAGCTAGAAAATTATTCAATTTAAAAATACTAATGAGGTTTTCAACATAGACAACGTAATAATTTCTAGGGAAAAAACCAAACCACTTCAAAGTTCTAAGAATCTCTGCATTCGATAGCCTTGGCCCAGCGCCAAACTTGCGTCATTCAAATCATCTTCTGCAGATGTCTGTAGCAGAACGAAGTTATGCTCTAATTAACCAACTTAATTATAAAGTTAGTGCTTCCTGTTTAAAAATTTTGCAACCGATCAACTTTTTTGTCGTGCATTTTGCTCAACCTTTCTTCCACTTTGCTACATTTTTAATTTTAAATGCTTTCCTGCACTGTACATATTGTGGCGCCGGCATGTATGCTAATTTATTATGAAAATATACTTAAGTTGTAGAAGAGTAAAAAACTTGAGCTGATTGTAAGCGCAAAAAAAATGGAAAACTAAATAATGCAAGTTTTATAAGTAAATTTGTGAGTAAATACAAAAAAAAACAAAAGAAAAAAAACTCAAGCGTGTGGGACTACTTGACTGCTAATGGATGTTTGCTGAATACTTGTTAGTCTGAGTGTGTGTGAGTGAGTGTTACTGGTTGCTTTGTGTGTATGTAGTAGATTTTAAGGATTATACTTATTGTTGCTAATTGAAGAACTAAAAGCTTTGTAAGCCGCTTAAGCAACACCAACAGAGCGAAGGTGATTTACTTAGTTATGGATTTTTTGTTATGAAATTAGAAATGTGGGATGGAAAGACAAAAGCAGAATAAACCGAGATCAAAGTGAAGAGAGTGTAGGTGTCTGGCCAAGACTTACAGTATGCTAGCTAGTATTGAGGAAAATAACCGGGAGATCGACAACGATTACATCGACGACAAAAATTATGGCAACAATATCCTTTATCGATTTCTTTTTACCGAAATAAACCCAAAAGTGAATACCAAAATAATATTTATAGCGATACTAGTACCGTTAAAACAGAAAATGCAGAAAATTATAACTGCTTAGGTTGAAAAATTTATTAGAATATCAAAAGAGAACAACGATTTTGATAAAAATTTTGATAACTATAGTAGTAACACTTAAATTCATTAATAAAACCCGGATACTTTCGAAATCCCTAAAATGATCCCGTTAAAAAAAATAAATAAAAATATCGTTAAAAAATCGATAACGCTTACTATAATTAATTAAATACATACATATATGTATAACATATTCTGTTTTGCGTTTAGCAAAATAATGAAAAATTTTTTGTTATAAAAATAGCATCATCGATAAATATATTTATAATAGATACCAATATCGATAATAACAACAACAAATATTTTAAAAAGTTGTTTATTCAAAGAATCATACTGATAAAATAATGATATCGATAACAAAAAAATCTCTGGTGTGGTCGGTAACAATAACGACATCGATAGTACTTTCGTAAAATGTATGGATAATTACTCGAGTGCTTAATTTAATCTCTGCTGCATCCTGAAGTTAGACAATTATACCTATAACAAAACGGATATCGAAATAAAGTCGACAATGATATCGATAACGTTATTAGTATCGATAACAACTTTGACATATATACAAATTGTTAATTGCTTAAATACATCTGGGCCGCATTCGATATACTAAGAATTGTATCGACGAAAACAAAGACATCGATAAAAAAAACGTTAATGTTATCGATAAGGATTCTGATGAATTCTAATTTGTACGCAATTCAGCCTCTCCCGCATTCAAAATACTAAGAATTTTTGCCTATAACAATCAGGATATCAATAAAAAGGCGTTAGCGTCAGCCATAATTACTTCGATATCGGTAATAAATTCGATGGCTATATATAATAGGATGTTTGAATGCATAAACCAATTTTAGCTGCATTCGTAATACTGACAATCATGCCAAAAACAAACAGAATATAGATAAAAAATCGATAGCGATATCGATAACCATATTATTTTCGACAAAAAATGTCGATAACGGCGGTGATTGATACTTAACTACATAACTAGATCTCTGCCATATACTGAACAATTGCAACGATAACAATATCGCTATCGATAAAAACTCGATAGTGGCCAGTAAGCATTTAGCCGATAACGATAACAAATCGTTGGTTTATAACCACACCTACATCGATAAACGTTTCGAAAACAAATTAAATACCATAATTCCATCTTTGACGCAATGGCAATACTTAAAATTTCGCCGATAACAATAATCATATCGATAAAAAATCGATAGTGACATATGTAGATAACAATAAAAACATCGGTAAAAATTCCGACGCATTCAATATTTCAATCTCTGACACATTCGAAATGTTGTAGTTTCCGTCTGTCTGATCTGCGTAACATCTCTTTAAATTGCAGATTTACGCTCTGTTAGTCCGCATTCACGCTTGGCTAACTTTTGATGGCTGCAGTGAATACGTCGATCAGCGCAACAGCGTCAAACAAGCAAAAAAGTGTCTCGACTGTCCACTGCAGTGCTTCCGTTGCCGCCTTTTTGTTTATTTCAACTTTTGTGCCACCTTCACATTGCTGCCAGCGACGAGTGTGCATTTAATAAAGCTACGCTTTTTGTCCTTACCTCACATAACTCCAGCTCCGCTGTGCATAATGCACATTTAAATTAAATTTCCGGCCATGCTGTCACCGCTAATAGCGGCATATGGTGCTTCCGGTGTTGACGGTACTTTGTCATCGGCACCGATAGCGGCGGCAGCTTTTTTTCGATGCCCTCACCTGAATGCCGTTTTTTCCTGCTTTTTTTGCTATAAATTTGCATCGAAATATTCAGCGCTTGCTGCAACCATCAAAGCTAATCTGCCTGCCTGTGCTATTAATCAGGCAGCCAGGCGCAGCGCTGGAATTATATTTCTCGTTTATGCTTTTATTTCTTTGGATTTTTTTATAGTCCTTTTACTTAACATTTACTTATGCAAACTTATCTCTCTTTTTTACCCATTTGCAGGTCTCTCCAAGCGACCTTTGGGTCCGCCACATCGCAAAAGTAGTCTACCAAAGCATCAGGAGGTGAGAAGGCGTTTCCTGGAAATTTGTGATACCAACTTCTCGGATGAGGTGAAAGCTGCACTCCGTTTGCCCGCCTTCGATTCGTACGAGTGGGGCGATGCCGATGTTATACATCTAATGCAAACGATGTTCCTCGAATTGGGCTTCATAGATAAATTCAATATACCGATTGAGACGTTGCGCGAATGGCTGTATGAGGTCTACAAGCATTACAACGAGGTGCCATTTCACAATTTCCGGCATTGCTTCTGTGTGGCGCAAATGGTAAGTGGACTAGCAATCAAGTGTTTATGTGGCGGGCGAATTTAGTAATAGACAAATGTATCTATGCACTTTTAAGAGTAAAGAAAGATTTAGTGGAGCTACATATATTTCTATGTAATGCGAGATTAAATTTTGAGCAACGAGGATTTAGCTCAAGCAAATTTATTAAACTACATATATTGATTTTACTAAATTTTGTAAATACATATCTGTTGGGTAAGCCAACATTTAATCGAAGCTTTCGTGTTTGCCATTTGAAATAAGGTATGCAGGTTTGCGTGGAATCGTTTCTGCCTACTTTTTTAATTTTCTAAAATTGTTTGTTTTCCTGCTACTATTTTTGAAACCACTATAAGAATAAGTAAATATTTTCATTTCCTTTATTAGACAGACTTATTTGTACAATAAGAGTTTGAAAGCTCTTTTATAGCACAACGGCGATTATGACATAAAAAACGACTGAGAAAGAGACTTAAAACTAATTTTAAATAGAATACATACTGGTAGCAGTGATGCAAGAGATGAAAGTTAAAAATATATAAATAAATAAAAATTAAAATTTTTAGTAGAGTTTGCACTTTGTTAATTCTCTAATTATCCGCAAATCGGCGGCAACTTCATCTAAAAGTTTTAAGCTCAAACATATTTGTATGTATAGATATATTAGGGCGGGCCATTTTTTTTTTACTATGCGCGTATAGCACAGCAGGATTCTACGTATAATTCTAAGCAAATTTTCCTCAGAAACCATGGGTCTAAAATCAATTTGGAGTTTGCCATAATGCGAAGATAGGTTTCTTAGCATTTTGCTGTAGTGTCGTAAAGAAGTGCTTAAATTTTGTAAAAAAACATGCTATAAGTGGTTTTTTGCTATGAAAAATCCATTTCTGCACTTACCTTTTTCTTAAAACTTACGCCAGAGGGCGTAATTTCCGAAATAGCTGCTATAACTTCAACCATATCGACCACTTACTAACAAAAAAACCTAGGAGATTTTTTTTTTTAATTAAATTTTTGATGTAGAAATGCGTCTAGAAGCTCTAGCGCCATTTCTGCATGAAAAGGAAAATTAAAAAAAAAATATCGCTTACGTCTTTTTGATGGTTAGAGCTCGATATGTACCTAAATTATTGTTTTTTTTTTACACAAATTTTCATTAAAAATAGCCTCAAGCTCAATAAAAGGGTTCAATTAATATACTTATTAGGAACAAAAATTTTAATTATAATTTTTCAATAAATTTCGCTACCCATAAATAGTACCAAAGTGCTTCTGCTTTATCACAAAAAAAAAAACTAACATATAAAACTTTCCTAATAACAATCCATATTTGAAACCCATATTTGGCCTTTTGAAAAAATAAGTAAATGATTGAAGTTGTTGGCAACATTGCAATAATAATTTTTGAAGTAAAACTTACATTTGAAGCAACTTTTTCTTTCACAAACAGCTTTCTATTACATTAAATCTTTTAACCATTAATTAAAAAATAAAAATTGTGGTAACCCTGTAAAAAGATAAGTGTACATTTTTTCGTTAAACAAAGCTCGTAATACTTAATTTTGACTACTTAAACAAAAAAAATATATAAGTATATTTCTTAAGAATTTGCTGGCAACCGTACAAAAAACCTAGTGTTAGTGTTACGAAAAACTTGCAATATTGCAAATTTGATCTCTAAAAAATTTGTTGAATGCCACTGATGTTAGAAAACACTTTTTATTCAAAATATCTCTGACGAATTTTATCATTTTTTAATTATTGGCGAATCAGTTAGAAAGGTGGCAATCCTATACGAAAAATTCCAGGGAAGTTGTGCGTTCAGCGAGGTTTAATATAACATAGCCCTTTTACTTTTTTTTGTGTAGTTTTTAGTTTTTAAAATAGAAAAAGAGTTATTTTCGGATTTTATACTGCCAAAAAAATATGTATGTACGTCCAGCTTTGAAATTACCAGTATTAAATTATATGCAGTATTGATCACAAATTTCATAAAAACCTTATACCTAAAATTTATTTCCATTTTTAGCCCCTTTTAAATATATAAAAGATATGCCAGTTTTGAAGTTCTCAAAGAAAAATATGTCCTGTTTTTAATTTATTTCAAAACTATGTCCAATTTTCAAACCACAAAAAAACTATGTCCGTTTTATAACAAAGAAAAATTCTTATTGACTTTGTAAGGTATCGATTCTTAAGCTTCAAAAGATTTATGTTCAGTTTTCAAAAAATGTATGTTCAATCCAGGCCATAATTTATGTCCAATTTTTAGATGATCAAATATTTTATGTTCAGTTTTTGTTGCCCAAAATTTATGTTCAGTTTTTAAGCTATATTTTTGTATACTTCTCTCGTTTATGTCTAGTTTTTAGTTTCGTCGAGATTTCATACACCTTCTACATAATGCCACACTCTTATATCAACTGCTTTTTGCCTTTTGCTCTCCCCGTCTCCCCTTTTTATCCCTCATTCCCTTTTTCCTTCTCCTTTCTCTTCTCTCAACCACCAACCCAACTAAGTTTCCCTTTACTCCCTATTTTCTTTTGTTCTTATAATATTCCCCATCTGCTCCGCTTCAACATTCGCCATCAATGCTTGTCACCTTAAATCATCTTTAGTTTGATCCATTGCCCCTGGGGATATTCTACACTTGCTTATGCAAAACGGCAAGTCTCCGCTGTAATTCAATCCATTCATCTGCCACTCAGACAGACTGCTCAAGTACTTAGCGCTATTTTGTTTTTTCCAAGCATAATACAATTTTCTTGATCATTGCAAGTGTAAATGAATATTGAAAAGGACAAAAACTAATTTGCTGCCGTATATATGTACATATACACATACATACATATATACATACTTATTTGAAGCTATGTTAGACAGTGTTTTTTGTAAATCAAATATGCGAAGACCGCGCTTTTTTTATATAAAGTAAAATTTTAGTATGACATTTTTTTTTTTTTACTTTTTATATTTTCCGAAAATTACATATTTTCATATAATTTCGCATAAATTATAACAACAAAGCCAAGCGGAAAAAGTCCTTATGCATGCCTTTTTTGTTTCGAGACAAACAACAATCAATTTCGCAGTTCAGAGGCAAGCAATTGCCGGCGCACGACAACCGTGAACAATCAACAAAGGCTATGGGCATTGACATTTATGTAGTTACTTATTTAGTACTTTCTTGTAAGCTGAACTTTTCAAAAAGCAGAAAAAAGTTCGCAGGAGATGGTGTCGGCTGGTTGTTGTTAAGGTAAAAATGACAGCATGTGACAAAGTCCTTGTAATATTTGATGCCCCACTGAGCTTCTTTTGTGCCATTACGCGCTTATGTGCAGGTTTGTCTGTGTATTAGAGCTTCTAGTGTCTGGGAAATTCATACAGTTTGCTATCCGTAGACTTATTGTTTAGTTAAGTATGCATCAGTAGCGGGTACGTCGTAACAGTTCGTGCATATGTACATTAGGGCGGAGTAATTTGTTCGGAGCAAAAGTGTATAGCAAATTCAAATTCTATGATTAACTCTAAGCAAAAATGGAAAACAAACTATAAACCAAAAATATTAAAAGAAAAAGTATTATATTGTAACCTTTTTGGCCAAAATTTATTTTTCATTGTACCAAAATTTTTTTTTCTGTTTTCTCTGTTTTGTGAAGTAGTTTCTTTAATATGTCGAAAACACAAAATTTTGTAAACGAAAAATTTATTTCGTTCTTAAGAAATCATAATGCACTAATTTTTCTTTTAAAAATTTGGAGCGTCAAACGTTTTTTTTGGTATAAGTTTGTTCACCATTTCGGTTTAGAATCGAACGTAGAAATCGAATATGTTATTCCTTTTTTTTGAAAATAAATAACTCCGCCCTAATGTACACATATGTATATAATTTATACTTAAGTAGTTTTTTATTGTTTGGGTTCTTGACTGTTTTCATATTGTCAAATGACTACGATGTTGTCTTCATTTTCAGTTACTTAGTTAAGATATAAGTATTGTCTCGTCGTCCACGATTAATTTGTGAAGATCAAAAAAAGAAAATGAATACGAAAAAACAATAAACTATTTAATTTCAACTTTTTATTTTCTATAGAGACAACTTTTGTTTAGAGGAGGAGGGAGCAGGTCACATAGTTGCCGCGACCGAAACGATCTATTTAACAAACCTTTGACTGAATGTCATGGTCATGTGCTTCTGGGTACTGTGATCCTAGGAAGCGAAGTCTGGTCCTAATGAGGGCTTCACACTAGCACATAATGTGGTCTGCTGTTTCCTGTCCTTCGGAAGCACAACCTACACTGGTCCGATTTAACAACTCCTATCTTTGACAAATGTTTCATTACCCTACAGTAGCCAGTTAGAAATTCTTTCTTCATGCCTACTGAGGTGAAGGAGTGCTCCGATTCTCCTTGTTGATATATCCGGAATGAAGGAATTGGCGTGTCTGTTACCTAACGTATTTTTCCAGTAATGTAGCGCTTCATTCTTCATTCAGATATTGTAGTTTCGCCTAACGGAGCTCAATGTCATACCAGTAAAGGGTCCTGGACCTATGAATTCCTCTGTAGCCTCCTTTCTGGCGAGAAGCGGCTCCTAGAAGAGATAAGTAATAAAAGCTGAAGGCAGTCCCACACCAGCTTTACGGTGAGACCACGTGCGCTTTAAGAGCGAGGGGTGCCGCTCTGCTGTCGGAGTGTATGTATGTAGATGTGTGTTTTTTTTTGGTCGCTTCACTTTCCACATACCGCCTCAGATATAGTTAAATGGCGTGAACCTCGGCCACAAAGACAAAGTCTGGGTTGTATGCCGTAAACTCCTGCTCCGACGTCGTGGTCAGTCTTGGAGTTGTCAGTATACCAGATGTGGCTGTCCTTTCGGTGTTTACGTCGTTCGTTGTCCCAGTTGTTCCTGTGGGAGGAAACGACCTTGAAAATTTGTGCGAAGTTAAATCTCGAAAGTCGCAGGCCCACAAACCTGACGGTATCTAACTAATATACAG